CTACCTTTTAGACTCTCGAACGCTCTCTCCTAGCATTGGATGCATCACTTCTTTTTCTTCCTTTTCTCTTATTTTTTTCTCTCTTTTCTTTTTCTTATACGTCGGATTTACGTTCAATTTCTTTATTCTCTCTCTCATTTTTCTATCTTTCTTTTCATTTCATCCCTTGGCTGAATCAAAAATCGAACTGTTCCACCTCTTTAAAAGATTGTAATTGTCGCAACTATTTTTTTTTTTTTGTTTTTTGTTTTTTTTCCCCTTACTGTTCCTGTTTCAGTTCTGGTTTACTTTTATAAAATGAACGGATAACCGCCGCACAGATATAACAATATGTTTGTCGATATGCATCTCGATGAATCGATTCGTAAAAAAAGAAATATCGCTATTGGTGTGGATTCAATTTCTCTTGAATCACTATTGTGATCAAACTTTATTCTTGTACGGTATATTTTTAAGACGTATGTACGAATGCTTAAAAATATTCGTACCCTTTATTCGATGTGTACATCACTTTGAGCTATCTATTTTGCACACTCGTCGTACAAAATTGTTCACTTTATTTCTTACGATTGAAGACATCAGATATTTTTTATTTCTTTTCAATCCATCGACACACCTCGAATTTCATCCTTTTTTTCTCTCTCTCTTATCTTTGATATAATCGTATCGATCCCATTTTTCAATATCGAAAACTTAAATGGTATGGATATGAATTTTATTATAATCCTTTATTGCTTTTTAAAATAAAAATTAATTTTTAAATTACAACTATTGATATTATCTCCAATTTTTATATTTTGATTAAATCAAAACAGATTTCGTCATCAATTAAATTTATATATCTGATATCTTCGATCGTTAAGATAAATCCTTTTTTTCGACACTTTTTGATTGACACAAAGCCACCGTCGAGATCGAAAACACTGTGGTTTCTGTCATTTTTCGCATTAGAGTCCTCGAATCGACGGAGCTCTTTAGAAGTTACCCCTAAGCTAAAGTTAAAAATTAGATAAATTACGGTAAAGTGCTTACTGGACACACGTATGCTGCTATCTGTTACTTTTTACACGTTTTCTTTTTACACATGCGTATCGTATCTCGCCTATTATTATTTTTATTTATTTCTATTTATTTATTTATTTATTTATTTATTTATCTTTCGTTTCGCATTTCATGATTAAACGTGAGAACATACAGAAAAGCCATTATTACACGAGAGTATTACTTTTTCGAGTATGAACGAATGTGATCGATTGCACAGTCCACGATGCATGCACCTTCAATCAACGTTATTCTCAGATTCTCAAACGCGCGACAACGATAATGCGATTCAAATTATTCCTTCGAGATATTATTCATTTGTTGCTCGTTAAGAATAAAATTTGTATAAAATCGATAATAACGGATATTATTATCGTATTCGAACCCGTGATTAGTTTTGATTTCGATTTCCATTAATTGATAATAACGAATAAATCTTTAAACGAATGATTTTACGTATTGCAATGACTTCCCTCGCTTCGGTTTATCGTACGATTCATTGAATTTTATTTATTCGATTGAATTTACTATTTGAAAATTAATAAATGCACATTTTTTACACGATATTTTATACACGAGATATAAAAATTTTCGTAAAATTCAAAGATTTTCACGATCAACAAACAAATTCTACGTTCATCGTAATTTAGAAACAAACGCGAGGGAAGTCAATTTTTCGGTATATAAGGAAGGAAAATTTTATTAAAAAAAAAAAAAAAAAAAATAGACAGAAGGAAAAACATAAAAGAAACAGAAGAAAGAAAAATTTCCTCCACTCCATACACAACATACATACACGTCGGATTAACATCGCATCGAGAGTTAAACGAACAACGATGCATTTGAAAATGAATCGAGGATTCGATCTAGGAAGAGACACGAGATCGATGGGTATATCGGGGAACACAAATAGACGTTGGCTGTCTTTCCGTATAAAATAACGACGGGACACGGTTCGTGCTGTACATCGAGTGTAAATAATAATACTATGATACAAAGTATAAGTACATTGGTTTAAATGATTGCAGGCTGCTCCTCTCATATCACAGCGAGGGCGCTGCCGGGCCCGCTTGAAAAACATCTAAAAAACGACCTCCTTCTTGAAGAAAAAACAAAAAAAAAAAAAAAAAAAGAAAGCGACGCATGTACTCGCACGTGTATACAACTCGCGTCATTCACCCTTCGTTATCAATATAATATATATATATATATATATATATCATCATCATCTTTCTTTCTTTCTTTCTTTCTTTTTTTCTTTCTTTCTTCCTTTCTTCCTTTATTTATTTATTTATTTATATATTTATATCTCTCGTGTACGAAATATAACGTATGATCGTGTTTACCTCGAAAAACATTCTTCTCGTTCTCGTTCAATAACGACGCGGAAACAAATGCCAAGTAGTTAAATGCCAAAACTGGTCGGAGCCGAGGTGTAAATTTTTAAAAGCGGCATCAAACATCTTGCAAACGATACACGCATACCGCTACCGAAATTATATAAATATCGCGTTCGAGAACGCGAAGAGAGGTTCGAGATTATCCGATCACACGGTATATTCCGTCCAGATACGTTTTTAATAATAATAATAAGAATAAGAATAATAATAATAATAGTAATAATAGTAATAATAGTAATAATAATAATAATAATAATAATAATAATAATAA